GACAGATCTGTGGAGATAACAACATGCACAGAAACAAGACAGAGCCACCCCAAGCAACAAAATAAAACAAAACAACAACATCAACAAGCCAATGACAAAAAACAAAACACAGCAACAAGAAAGAAAAGCTTGTAGTTAGTTCAAGGACTGTTAGTTGGCCTTTAGGAGTGTTTTCCTGTCCAGTCTGTTGGGTCACCAAGCCCTGGCCCCAGAGTCCACCTTTGGCATTCCCTGGGGACCACGCCACTCCATTCCTTTGCTGTTCTGTTGCACCCCCTTAGTGTTTTGCCTTGGTGTGGCGGGATCAGATTGGGCGCAATTCCCACATGTGTCTCCAGTGTTCTCCCATGTAGGGCTATGGGTCAGTGAGGGGCATCATGTCTCATAGTGGGGCTGGCCATATGGTCCTCTCTGTGGACTGGCTGCTCTAATCAGGAACATCGTCCTCGCGGCCTGGTGGGCCAGGATTGTTCTCTGCGCTCTCCTCCTCCCCCTTCCTCTGCTCCCGTGTGCTCTGATCAGATATGCCCCTCTCCTGGAGCTGCATATTCAGTGCTGTCTTTTGAAATAAATTCCTCTGGGGGAAGGGAGGCCAAACTTTTTAAAGCAGTCATCACTCAGGCAAAATTATGTCTGCAAAACTAAGACATGTTGCATAAAATAAGGAGAATATGAAAATAGCAAATAGATGTTGGTCTTAAATTGTCAGGGATTATGGGGTTTTGAAATAGGTAACACCTATTGACAGGTGGGAATATAGAGCCATTTTTGGTATCTGGTGGTACAGGGAGTTAACAGCTTCCAGTATTTCAAAAAAGCCCAGGAATGCAGGTTTTATGTGGCAAATATAAAGAAGTTGAATTTATAAAGTAATAATGATATCATCATAGTTTACAAAGATAACTAAGATTTGTGAAAATCTGATTTGTGATCAGATCATTGGAGTCCTGCTATTAATTGGAGAGAGAAAGTTAAAGGGACTGTTTAGTTAACCTTAGACATTCATATAGCACTGTAACGTTTCTACAGCTAATAAAATTATTTGCTGTTGGAAAAACTCGTGCTACACTTAAGCATTTGCATTTCATTATATATAAGTTTATATTTAAAATTATTAAATAGTGAATTATAATTAAAGTGTATTTTCAGCTGTTTGGGGATGAAGTATACTGTAATTTTGTTTGAAATGCATCAAAAATTGATGGATAAATATGTGCTAAAACAAACAAGACATGACAAAATAATTTATGAATTATGAAGGGTTCATGAGGGAGGGGTGAGTAGGGAAGGAGGGGAAAATGAGCTAATATTAAGGGTTCAAGTAGAAAGCAAATGTTTTGAGAATGATGATGGCAACACATTTACAAATGTTCTTGACACAATGGATATATGTATGGATTGTGATAAGAATTGTATGAGCCCCCAATAAAATGATTTTTTAAAAAAGACCACAATATTAAAAATTACAGAGCATACAGATAAGTGTGTGTGCAACTTTCTGTATTTTTTAGAATTCTCAAAATATTGTAGGAAAGGCACAAAATGCATGTAGCAATAAGCCCAAAGGTTAACGATAATTACAAAAAAATAAAATAAATGGATTAAATGTTCTAGATAAGACAAAGATTACTAGATTTCATTTTGAGTTTTTCAAATTCCACTTATATACTACTTTAAGATCAAGTCAGTGTTGACTGATCTCAGAGTAGCACTGTGCTCCATTGGTTTCCAAGGGGTGATTTTTGAGAAGTAGATCACTAGAACTTTTTCCTGAAGCACCTCTGGATAGACTTCCAATTTTTCATTTAACAGCTGAACATGTTAAGTATTTGCCTCTCACGGTGAGATATACCCATCCTTAAAAATTCAGATGCAGAATAGTTCAAAGTAAAAGGGTTGAAAAAATATATGCCAAGCAAATGCTAACCAAAGGAAGAGTATTAATGTGAGAAATAAAAGCAGTAAGCATTTAGTCTGTAGGGTCAGTTAATATATACTGACTAAAGGGCCAATTTATGAAGAAGACACGACGATTTTAAGCTTGCATGTACCTGAGAACAATACTGCTTCACTTCATTATACTGTCAAGTGAAAAATGATGGAATTACAAGGAGAAATAGGCAAATCCAAAGTCATAGTAAATGTACCCCTCATAGTAATTGATATGTTAAGTCAATGGAAACATCTATACCGATGAAATAGATTTGAGCAGTTTAGTTAATAAACTTGGATAAATGGACAGGGAGCTCTGGTGGGGTAATGGTTACTCTTGGCCTGCAGCTGCATGGCAGTTCGAAACCAGCAGCAGCTCTGAGGGAGAAGACTGGGCTTCCTAAACAATTACAGACGCATAAACCCACAGAGGGTCGCTGTGAGTCAGCATTGACTTGATGGCAGTAGATTTGATTTGGTTTTATAACTAGCAATAGTACACATTCAGGAATATATTGAACATTTATAGAATTATTATGTTTGGCTATAAAGAAGGTCTCAATTTTTTCCCAAGGTTAACATGTAGAATGCTTTTTTTTATCATAATGCACTTATGAATAACAAGTGATGTCAGCAAAAGTGGTATTGCAGGAAGGGAGATCCAAGAGCTTGTCCCTCGAAACACCTAATAATTGAGTAAAAGTTGTCACCAGTTGTGTTGGACATGCAGAAAATTGTCAGTGGTTTACAGAAATCAAAGGAATGCTGAATTATGAAAAAGGAACCTAAACATTGTTTTTAGGGAGTACAGGTCGTTCAGTGCTAGAATTCTGATCTTCCACATGAGAAACCTGAGTTCACTTGAAGCCAATGCACCTCAAACACAGCCCTCACCCATCCTCAGTGGAGGGTTGCATTGTTGCTATGATCTGTTTAGGTTTCAGCTGACCTTCTAGACTAAGACGAAGAGCGTGGCAATCTCCTAAAAATCATCCAGGGAAATTCCTATTCACCACAGCTTTACAGTCTCACCATGTGTTAAATTGTCGTGAGTCAAGGACCAGCCCCATGGCTGCTTACAGCAGTCCAACCGTGTTATCTAAGGGAATGTGTGGACAGCTAGCCTACAACCGCTAAAGAACACTCTCCAGAGAGCACATGTTG